TATATATATATATATATATATAACACACACACACACACACACACACCAGAAATGCAGCCAGAATTTAAACCAGACAACACACTTACCCCATCCAGTTCTTATAAATGAAATTTGAATAGAACATTTATTTTATTGCTAGCAAGAGAATCTGTTTTCACAGATGTGCATATGTACTGCACTTGTGTAAACACTCTGTCCTTCTTCCATCTCCTTCCCAATTTTTGCTATATTCTTATTTTGGAAAAATATTGCTTTTTAAATATTTCCATGCTTATAGTATGAAATATCACTTTCTCCCTCTAATAAAAGATTTGAGTTGTATTTCAACTGAAGTAAGCAAACAGCAATGTGGTTTGCCAAAATGCCTCATTCTAGCAAAAGCACCTACTGTAGCTGTAATAACCGTAGCTAAAGCTTATGCCCAAATAAATCTGTTAGTCTTTAAGGTGCCACCAGACTCCTTGTTGTTTTTGTAGATACAGACTAACACGGCTACCCCGATACTTGATATGTAGCTTTTTTGTTTGTTCTTTCTCTGTCCTATAGAGTGCCCTCTAGTGTCCTGAAGCTGCATTGCATTTACTCACTGAACTTCTCTATTGATTTATCATTATTATTAATGCCAATAGTTACTTAACTTGCACGGTTAAGTAACTTCCAAGAACAATACAACAAACTAAGTAATCCCCACAACACCCAAATGAGATAGGGAAGGTCAACTGGATGCCAGTTCCTGTGTTTGTTTATCGAGCCTTGTTGCCTTTTTGCAAAATGTTTTTGCAAAAGGGTGGCTTTTTATTTATCCAAATCCCTTTCATTTGAGGCTCCATTAGAAATTAAGATGTCCTTTTCTTTTTATTACAGTAACAACTTTAAGATGGCCTATTTAAAAACAGCATTTACTAAACATGGCTCTCAAACTTTCTATTTCCTGCCATCTTAGCATCTTTCTGCAGACAAAAGGTTGGAGAATAAGCAGGCTCTTCCTTCAACTTCTTCCACTTGTTCTTTTGGGGGAAAAAAGGTATAAAACTCACATTCCTGTCCACACACACTTTCAAAGGGTTTAATATTTCTGACTCTGTTTACAGTTTTAAATACTTCCCTTTTCCAAAAAGCAGTGCAAACAAACCTTGTGTACACTATCTATAAAAGCATAAGCCTATAGAAAGCTATTCACTGATATACTGAAATATGGAGAGACTAATGGTGCTTCCTCAGCACGGATTTTTTTTTTTTTACTAGCAACCTTCACAACTTGTTTAATGTTTGAGTTATACAAATTTCAATTGAAAATGTGGTTCAAAACCTACATTACTGAATTTTGTTGTAGGCAAAAGATCCCTATAAACCCACACAAATATCACTAAAAAATAAAGCAGCAATACATTAATGATTTATTATTTGGTATTTAGCACAGAATAAAGTAAATGAAGGGGGGAAACCACCAAAAATTATTCATAGTATTGATTATTTCTAATTTTTCTTTAAATGCATGAATTGTTGTCACTACAATTACGAGATCATCAAAGCCTCATTTTGTTCATCAGTCTTCATGGCAGTTTGTTTCACACCCACGCATGTTCTCTTCTAATTCAGTTCAGTAGCTAATGAATAACTCCCACTAACAAAAGAGCCTTTCATTCCATGCTCACATAATTATTAGAGGAGAGTTGCATAAATGTCACCGAAGACTAGTGTTTGCAGGCCTGTCTCTAAATTCGGTTATTCACAACCTTTGCAGCTCAATATTATTGCTTAACTGTGATCATTTTCTAATTACCTTAATAATACCTATTAAATCACTTGAGCTACATAAGCACAGGCCTACTTAAATACAACTTAACCTAATAAGCACTGGTCATTCATTAAACAATAATGCACATTTTTAAAAGGATGAATGGAATATTATCTGTCTGAATCCTGCACTATTACACAAATGTTATTACAAGCAACAAAGCATTAACATTTTGATGTCTAGTTTGGAGAATTTCAGCCTGAAATTTTACACAATAAGAGGTATTCAAACAGAACAGTCCTCACCCCTTTTCCTATCTGCCTGCATCTGTAGCTGGCCACCCACATGAAAACAATCAACAGGGAGAAAAAAATAGCACTCTAATCTTAATGAAAGGAATTAAATTACTAAGGATGAAAAGGGAATGAGGAGCATCAATCTCTTAGCAGATGAGCTTTCTTTAGAAAATGTGATTGTCAAAATAATGGGAACAAGAGGTGGCTCTGGGCCATCCATTCTGGTATTCTGCACGTATCCCTATTTCCCTACAGTTAGAAGAGTTTTGATCTTCCATATTTTCAGAGACCTAGAGAGAAGAGCATCAACTTTTTTTTCCCTATAACTAAGGGGATGTCTACATTACAGCTGTTACAACGGCACAGCCATGGCACTGTTGCTGTACCATTCTAGCGCCATAGGGTAGACACTTCCTACATTGGCAGGAGGGTTTTTCCCCTCCATGTAGATAATCCATCTCTCCGAGAGGAGGTAGTGAAGTTGACAGAGAATTATTCTGTTGATTTAGCCACGTCTGCACGGGGGTGGGGGAAGGGAGAGGTCTACCCAACTAGGTTGCACAGGGACAAAAATTTTCACAACCCTGCATGACATGGCTAAGTAAGATGATCTACTTTTTAAGTGTAGACCAGGCCTAACACTAAAAACCCTTTGGGGATTCTCCTTTCAAAAAGACAGTGTTTTAAGTTAACAGATGAATTGACATTAGCTTTTTAAATAACATTTTAAATAGATTAGTTCAATCAGTTGTATGGCATTTGTTTTATAAACCAGTTGGGTAAATACTGAAGACCTTACAGTTTTTACTTGGGCAAACAACTACTAGAGCCAATTCTTTACTTCAGTGTTTGTGTACTACAGTGATGGAGTTTATTCTCCCCCACAGAGAGAATAAAAATCTCAGTAAGGCACTCAGCATTGGGCCCAGCATGATTTTGCTGCTATTACGGTGGTTTTGTAATACAATACTAAAAAAGTACATAGAGACTTTACCATACTATGCAGCTAAGCATAAAAACAACATTTTCCAAGTGTTGGGTGTTGCATCAAAAAACATCGTAGCTCCCTGGCACAAAATCACACTAGTGATTTAAGAGTTTTGGCTTGTAACAAGGAAGAATATAAAAAGCAGATTTGCAATATGACTTCTGGCTTTCAGACAATCTTTTACATCTAAAATAGCTTTCAAATCTCCTCAGAAGGTAGATTGCATCAGGGCAGCCATTTATGTTCATATTTTATTAAAAAAACAAAACAAAAAACCCTTAACGTTAGATTGGGTCTTGAAATTTCATCCCTTAGAAAAGGGTGGGGTCAAGCTGTGCTGACCACAGGAGGAGCTATGAGAAGAGCTGCATCTCCGAGAGGCACAGTCCCTCTTGTGCTCCTTGCTCTGGGGGGAAGTAGTGTCACCCTTTTCTGAGGTGTAGCTTGCTTCCCCCCTTGCACCCGGCCAGTTGTGCGGGGTCTTCACGCTGGGGAAGGCACCATTATGGCTCTACTAACTCTCAACTCTTCACTTACACTATCCACTTTCCCCTTCTCCTCCCCGTCCAATAGTTCATGTAGCAGAAGGGAAAGACATCACGTTAGGCATGGTTAGGGAAATCAGACTAAATGATCTAATGGTTCCTTCTGGTCTTAAAAATCTATGAATCTGCGCCTCACCCTTCTGTGCATGAACTGTAATGTGAATAGTCCTTATGTAGACATGTAGGGGAGACCTTATACCCTCTAACTCCCCTCCACAGCTGGGTCAGGACTAATTAAAACCTAAACTTTCATTGGAGCAGGGAAAAATCCTAATTATCTCCTGTCCATAAGAAAACAGCATTTCATAGTTCAGGTCTGTCTCACTACACACTGCCCTTTTACATGGCTTGTCTGAGTTATTTCCACAGTTCAGTCACTGACTGCAATCATATTATTGACACTCAGAGAGAAGCTGTTAAGGACCTTGTTACTAAGCATAGGCTGCTGGCTTGGTAACTGAGTTACTGGACCTAGAAACATCACTGATTCTGTAGTGTAGATGAAATCAGGCTCAGGATTTTAAACAATGGGAGGGAAGTAGATTCAGCTTCAAGTTCCAATAGTTACAAATTCACAACTGATAACATCTAAAGCTGCTTGGCAAATAGAAAAAAAATAGGTGAATTTTCTCTCTTATTTATTGTTTCAGGGAAAAATTTCCAACAACCTGTACTTTTAAAACAGTTGTAAAACCTGCTCTGCTTTTAAAGAGGCACCAAATAATCACAAATTTCTTGCCCCATTTACCTGATTCTCCTCGCAGTTCCCTCTCCAGTTTAACACCATTTATCTCTAGGGCCCTCTGTCTTTCCTCCACTTCTTCCAGTTGGCGCTGGATAGCCTGCAGAATTATAAAGATTATAAAAGATAAAAATACAGCTTTAAAATACAGAGAGGAAGGATGGCCCGGTGGTTTGGGCACTAACCTGGGACTTGGGAGACCCATGTTCAGGTCCCGTTACTGTTAAAGTTTTCCAGTGTGATCTTGAGTAAGTCACTTAGGGCCAGATTTACCATTGATTATATAGACACCTAGCGGGATTTTTCAAAAGTGCTTTCGAAAATCCCGTGAGGTGTCTATCTGCATCTTTAAGTGCTCACATACATTTAAAAATCTGGCCCTTCGTCTTGTTGTGCCTCAGTTCCCCATCTGTAAAATGGGGATAACAGCAGCTCCCTACTTCACAGGGCTGCTGTGAAGGTAAATATATTAAAGATTGTGAGGCATGCAGACACTATGGTAATGGGAGCCATATTGGTACCTAAAATAACTTAAAGGGTTTGTCTACTATTTTGAATTGAGTGGGATAATTCAGCTATTTTTTCTTCTCATATAACCTTTTGATATGGAAAAGAAAAGGATATATAGTTCCAGAATTCCCTTTAATTGGCACTACACAGGTAACCCTCAGATGAGCTGACCTGACCATACCCTCTAAACATGTCTGTGTTCTAGGCCAACTATTTTCAAAAGCATCCATTGCCCAATCTGACACACCTTTAAAGGGCCACATTTTGAAAGGGTAGGTACCTAGTATTTCCTTAAATTCAGGCCCTGTGAAGGTATCCAAAGTTAGCCACCCAAAAAATCACTGGGCACTTTCTGAAAATGTCTATTACTGTACCACCATAAAATAAGGGAAGACGCTTACAATGTGTTCCCCCCGCCCCTCCCCCAAGGGATTTTGTTTACTTATTTAGTTTCATTTTTGCTATTTCAGTTTTACAAAAAATACATTAAGCACATGTGGATTTTTTCTTTTGTAGTTGCTTCTATTTTGTCATTGATTTCTCAGTAATGATTAATCTAATATTTTCTAAAATGTAAAGAAAATGTAATAGGTTCTATTTAAAATATAGAGAAAAATGTAATAGGTTCAAGCACAAAATATCTGTTCATTTAAAGTACAGTAAATCAGCAGAGGAGACCCATTTAAAAATTCCAGAGATTTCAATTTCACTTCTCATTATATAGTGTATATATATTTATATTATTATAATACTTAATATATATGCACATGCTAATTACAGGGAAACCCCGCTATAATGCACCCCGCGATAACGCAAATTTGGATATAACGTGATCATAAGGTGGCT